TGTGTTTACCTTAGGATTCTTGAATGCATGTGGTGTTCGAGATTCATATTGTATGCTATTGGTGGTTCTGTATATTGGGAGTGAATTTTGAGTAAAGTTCTTGACTTTTCAAATACAAATTTGTTTCTTCTTATTTTGTCTATGGTAAAATTGATCTGAGGATATGGGATTGTGGGTTTTGACTCATACACGGTCGAAGTAATTTAATTTTAGTAATGTATTTGGCATAAGTTGATGATTCTTGAATGCATGTGGAATTTGAAGATGATGGAGTACTCTGTTGTTATTTGAAGCTTCCATTAAACTCCTCGAATCCTGTCTCTTAATTATCTTTCACATTTTCTTATTTACTAGGATATTTAAGGTAAATGTTTAGTTGGAAGAGGTTAGTTTTTTTATATGTGATATTGAGTATCAAGCAAGATGCATAGTAATTTTTTGGTATCAATGGAATTTTGGTACTGTTTTGTTTGGCTGTAAAGATTTCTTTTTCTCTATAAGACTTTTTGATGTTAACCTCATTCTAAGCCAAAGAAAATCTATTTGAGTAGATAATTAGTCCTTGTTAGGTAATACTTCATTAATTATAAGCTCACATTTTAAACAGAAAATTCACCATCTTCTGTATTTTATCAAAATCTACTAGTTTAAATTTGAGTTGTTTGTAACATTGATATATTCGGAACTTTACTCTCGATTTTTTTCTTTGAATATGTATTTAAAAGAAGTACATTGACGAAAGTTCTGTTGTTAATGATGTTGGACGTCAAATACTATTTCTAGATGGTTATATACTTAAATTGAACGAAGGCCAAAACATATGAGGTTCGTTTGGCCTTGGAATATAATTGGATCTCTCTTTGTAGTTTGTGAGTGTTAGTGTATCTTCTTATCTGGTCATTCATCATGATATACAAACTTGTTTTATGTAAATATATAGATTGTTTTTGCTTTTGATACTGATATTGTCATCACAAGATAATTTTATGTTCAGGTTTGCGTTTCTACCTATTTTGGTGTTCTGGGTTCTTATGCTGTTTTATTTCGAATTTTGCTTCATGTGACTCCCAGATACTTGAAATGTAATATCTCATTGTTTAGACATTGCTCGAGTACATATATGATATCATGGTAGATATATTCTCTACATTGTTGATTGTAATCCTTAGAATCCTTTGATGCAATGATTTTGTTTATGATGATGGGATAATTGAACTTGTAGTTAGTACAAGTTGCAACTTCATTGTTATTATGGAAGCAAATGAATGAGAGTTATGTTCAGAGTTTTTCTACGACGGTCTTTTTTCCTTACGAGTTTTATCATGAATAATGTTATACAACGGTGAAATAATAGTACAATATCACTATTTTGAGCAAATTGTGCCTATTTCC